ATCGCCATTTAAACAACGCCGCAGTTCCAGACCGTTATCCGATTCCCCACCTACATGATTTCTCTCTGACATTACATGGAAAAACAATTTTTTCTAAAGTAGACTTGGTCAGAGCCTATCATCAAATACCAGTTGCCCCAGAAGATATCGAAAAAACAGCCATCATCATACCTTTTGGTTTGTTCGAATTTCTGCGCATGCCGTTTGGTCTAAAGAACGCCGCACAATCCTTCCAACGTTTCATGGATAAGGTCACACAGGGTTTAGATTTTGTATTTGTATACATCGATGACGTACTTAAAAAGTCAGCCCCGAGTATGGCATGATCCACGTCGGCTGCTATGAAAACCCATGTAAAATGCCGACTTAAGCCTAGATCCACTATAAGAGATTGTTCACCATACGTCTGTATGTTTGTGTGGTTGGCTGCACGGAGAGACAATTTTCCTGGTGTCCGAGTAGATCGCCTGGAGAGTGCTGCTACTGCTGCTGGTGGTGGATTCAACATAGAACTTGGCACCGAAGTGCAGCAGTTCGAGTTGCCACGTTCCAAATAGCACACAAAGGTAGACAGGAAAATGAGAGAAGAGAATCAATAGAATTTAGATAAGTATAAGAGTGAAACAGAATGAATAATGGTAGAAAGGAATATGAAGGTTAAAGAGACTGAATACATCTGCGCCATTGACAACGATTTTGAGCCATGTCACCTATTGTCTCCAGCCATTGATTCTTAGAGTCCCAAGGGCCCCAACCTGGAAGTCTGCATCTCCCTACCTGACTCAGTTTAACTGTTAGGGATTTCATGGATTGATGCCATGTTTATGTTTGACCACCACTTACTCTTTTCCAACCTGCACCTATATCAGCTAGTAATGCCCGTCGGGGGAGACGATGGTTAGGCATGCGCAACACGTGGCCTAACCATCTCAATCTATGTAACTTCATAGCCTCTTCAAGTGATTTTCCCTCTTTGCCCAACACTCTACGCCTAACGTCAACATTACTTACCTTACTATACCACCTAACGCGAGTAAGAGATCGTAAACATCTGTGGTCAAAAACAGACAATCTCTTCATGTCTTCCGCTCTCAATGGCCACGTCTCACCGCCATAGAGAAGGACGGAGCGAACTGCTGAGCAGTATACACGTCCCTTGGTTGACAGCCGGATGTCACGCCTACGCCAGAGACGGTGTAAGTTAGCGAAAGCAGCCCGAGCTTTCTGGATCCGTGCTGTGATTTCGTCACCAATTAATCCGTTGGTGCTGATACAACTTCCCAAATAGGTGAAGTGGTCAACATGTTCTATCACTTCACTCCCTATCACTAAGCTTGGAGTTGACGTAGTCCAGTCCTGTAGCAGCATCTTACATTTCACAGGGGCGAATCGCATGCCAAACATACGAAGATTGCTGCTCAAGGTGTTCAGAAGACTCTGCATTTTGTCAGCGTCCTCCCCTAACAGGACTATGTCGTCTGCGTATTCTAAGTCTATAAGACTATACCTTGGTAACAAGTCGATTCCTAAGTCGTTAAGTTCAGTTAAGGATACTTCCATTAGCATATCTATGATGAAGTTAAACAGAAAAGGGGAAAGTGGACATCCTTGACGGAGACCACTGGTTGTTATCAATTCAGATGACAATTCCCCATAAGCCCTTACACAGCTACGTGAGTTTGAGTAGAGTGCCTTGATTAGTGCAATGTACTTTCTTGGCACTCCCTTCATAGTCAAACATTGCCATAGAACCTCTCGATCCACGGAGTCGAAGGCCGCCTTCAAGTCAAGAAATATGGCAATTGTTGGACGCCTAAAAGTGTGTCTATGTTCTAGGATCTGTCGGAGAATGAAGATATGATCTATGCACCCTCTACCTGGCCTAAAGCCCGCTTGGTTTTCCCTCGTTTGTTCCTCCCGAGTTCGGCTTAGTCTGAGCCTAGGATTTTAGAGACTATGTTCGTTAGGCTGATTCCTCTATGATTATCACATGAGGACTTATCTCCCTTCTTGAAGAGTGAAGGGGGAATCACGCTAACTTCTGCTCCTGTGTCTACCAGGAATAGGGTGCCTGAAGTTTTGTCCTTCACATAGAATAGGCGACTTGTTTGCTTGCCAGTAACAGCTGTCGCCATCACTGTCTGGCTGAGACGTTTCCCTGAGCCTGATTATCTTCACTAAAGATGCACGGTTTGACACATTTCAGGGCATGACGTCCGAACTTCCTATGATACCAACATATATTACTGTCCCTAGAAGACATGCGGGAACGCTGTCGGGAGAGAGATCGTCTATGTAATTGTGACCTTGCTTGTGAACTCCACCTCTGGACTCGTCGATCAGATCTATTTGTTTCCAACTTGTCAATCCTTGCCGCTAAGTCTGCAATGGCGGCGAGTATTGGTGTGTCTGTCGTGGGTGTGGACTGAAAATAGTGTTGCACTGTCAGATGCAATATGACCTATGGTGTTATCTGATAAAACATCCACAATACTATCTGCCATGTCGCTTAGTGGGTCTAAGTCATACGACTTTCATGAGATGATTAGAATTTGTTGAACGTTTCTGGGTAAACGTTGCTACCACATCTGTCTCAGCACGACCTCGTCAACTTTATGGTTTCCAATTAACTGGCGCATATGTCTAAGGAGCTGGGATGGTTTACGCGTTCCTAGCTCGCAGCCCGTGAGTAATTGTTGGATTCTTTTCTCGTCTGACAAACTGGTGCGTTGTATAAGAAGGGCTTTAAGTTTTTCATATTGGTTTTCCGTCGGGGGGTTTTCGATGAAATCGCTGATTTCTGTTAACAGTGACGGAGGAAGTTCTGCCAGCACGACGCCATATTTGGCTATCTGGGATTTAATGCCCCGTGCTTCCAACAACGGCTCGATAACTCCAAACCAAATCCGTGGCTCTGCAAAGCCGTATTGTGGTAGACGAAAATCAGTTATGGCGTTTATTGTGGCCTGTGCCTCGCTGCCAGTTCTCTGTTCAGTTGATGTACCGGGCTGAGTAGGTGACGACATTATAGGTGTGAGAATATTGGTACAAAGGGGGATACAAATATGAGACCACCAACAAAAAATTGCAATGAAAGTACAAAATAGCAAAAATAAGTATATAGATACGTGAAAATAATCCGTGTTCAAAACGGGCTCACCAATTAAGTGTAGTGGACCTAGCAACTAAGTATGTCTATACACACAATTAAAAGGACAGAACAAGTACTAACAAATACGTATATATAAGATATTCAGTTCACTTAAGTTACACTTGGACAACTAGTTTGCGGCACTACTTCAACACTGCCAGGACATCTAGTAGATTCTCATGACTCTCAAAATGTGAATATTTCTGATGAACTGACCAGGCGAATGCTACGACTTCAACCAATAGCTCCCAGATAATCTCCCCGCAGAGAAAAGGTAAGTAGACATCTACAAACTTGTAAATTTGTCTTTATACGCATCGATAACGTCAGGAGAGGGCTACAACCTCCATATGAAGGCCCATTCCCAGTACTGCATCGCGCTGAAAAATATTTCACAGTGAGCAAAGAAGGTAAAAGGATGGCAGCTGTAGGAAGTGAAAATGATACATACAAGGGATCTCCTGCAATCAATGCTTTGGTAGCTTTCAGTAAACCTCCCTACGGTCTCTACTCTGGACGGCGCGAAATAAACCTTCCTGTTGGGAAAGTTGCATCTATCGTAGCGTCTCTAGCCTATACTAATCCTGCTAACAGCCAACAACATTTCACACTGGATTTCATCGAAGGCGCTCTTCACTATCCGATGTACTATGACTACCACATACAAAACTTTACAAAGCAGCGTCTCCATAAAACTTTGGAACCCGGTCAGGAGGTTTGTTGAAATTTCCTAGCTTAACTTAATCCAGCAGTTGAGTTAGCTGGTCGATCATTCGGTGGTTTACTATCACGATAACAATAACATTTATTATGCCCATAAGTTATGTAATCAGACTGTTAATGTAAGTGCGTGTTTTTGCATTCATAACAATTTCATGTAGCTTTATGAGATTGAAGAGGGCGTAGACACACAGTTAATATTCCTCGTTGTCCTGGTGATTGCTCTCAGTATTGCAGTGTTCATTGGCGCGTGGCACTGGTTCACTTCAAAGGCTCATCGTCGTCAGCCTACCAAACAGTCTTCGAAGTTGGTCGAAAATAATGCTGACAGCAGTGTAGTGGAGAATGAATATCTAGCTCTGATCAATGATAAGTCTCAAGCAAAGAAAGGTAATTTAGTTGAAATTCACTTTCATCTGAATGTAGTGATAGTTTTTACTAAATTTATAAAGTAATAGAACAACTGTTAGTCCAAAACTAGAGTATTTCACATATTCCAGCCTGATGGCTCCTGTGTTGTTGTCGAAACAATGTTAATTGTTGCCATTCTACCCTCTTACTACTCCAGTAACTTCAGTTTCATTTCATATACGTATAAATCTTACAAAAGTATATCAGCACGGTCGACTAGTGTTTCTAAAGAGTCCTTTTGTTCACGCGAGCTAGGCATGTACAGTGGGTACCAATCCACATTAAAGCCATGGTAATTTACTACCCGTCTCATTCACGTGAACTGTCTTCAAAGTACCTCCTACTTGACGTTGCAGAAATTCTCGGCTTAAATGAACTGTATCCTTATTGTTATTTAGGAATGAACTTTAACATATGTTTAACCTTTTTAGGTCGATCTGACCAGACGGTACGTCGCCGACAAGGAAGGCGTTGAATCATTCGAGGTCTTGCAGACTAGTCCGGAGACCAACAGTCATCTCGTGTATACATTTGTAGAAATGTTTATACGTATAATATCGTTTTGTATTTTTATTCTTCTTGTGTTATTTTATTTTCCTTATACACCTTTCTTTGTTTACTTATACGACTGACTAGTTAGCGATGTCAATAAAGTTCATTTCTTTGGTTTACCTCTGGTTCTTCAAAAATCCTTTTTGTATTTAAAGAGTATCGATTAATGAGTTGTAATGGTTTTATATTAAATAACAGAATACATTGTGCCACTGGCGTGTTATTAGCAAAGAAAAGACGGGTATAAAAAATGTCTAACACGCACGGAAACTCTAGGTAGTTGCAATGATATGTTGAATAAAATAGCAGTAAACGCAGTATAAATCGCGAGTTTGGTTATGCAGGGATTGTTCATTATGTATTGTTCTTCAGTGAGGTTTGATTCTTCGTCCAAATAGTGAATTTCGGCATTCTTGGCCGAAACTTTGAGATGCAGGATTGAAGGAAAACTATGGGGAACCAAAGACAGCAAGCGATCATCTGTAGAATTAAAGTAAAAGTACAGTTAAGTGTTTATTGCTGGTTTTTGATTTGACACTGCTTATTACCGATAGTCACTACCTGTTTAACCATCTATTACTGTTGTGAGAGTGGTTTCCTCACCCCACTATCGCTTCTACTTGATTGAACTAGACAGTGGATCCGAGAGATCGACTTTTGTAGGACGAAGGTTATATCTACTAAATCACTTCGTGACACAAAGATTCCTTTAAAGAAGAAAAGCTAATGCAATCAGACCTTGGTGTTTATGGACATGGACACTAGTATTTGTAAGTGTCATGTATCTCTAATCCGTTACAAAATAATCCTTTTTTGTGAGATTACACCTCTCCCGCATGTCTGGAGACAGTGCTTATCAAAAAACAAATCCATCCATCGTTATCGGATCGTCCTAGAGGTGACTAACAAGTTTTCAAATGAAAAGTAAAGTTATCGGCCTTTGGGATAAAAATTCACTCTACGTGAACGCATGAGAGCTATGGTCAAAGGAGAATGGGAACTGATATGCACATGTCATGAGAACACTTTTCCATAGAGATTAAACAGTTTTTTAGAAAAACTGGAAGTGGTGGAACACCACTGGCTGAAACTGCATTTAGTAGTCATCAGTGAGGAGCAGAACTGTGGTTTGTAACTCCGTACAGAATAGTTGTATTTGATATAACACGTCGATATGATGCTTATATACTCATTAGGCTTCGAGAATAAAGTATCAGTAAAATCTAATCATTAGAGGATGATTTCCTCGGAATGTCAGGCTGTGAGTCGCTTCCCTACAGATGTCCCTGAATTTTATACAAACCCTCATCGATCGTAAGTGTGACACAACAGTTCTGTTACCATGTTTATCTTACTACATCATACTTCAAACGTGACCGTCATGCACAAACTAGGTCGAAAGTTTATATTTACAAGACATCAAATAGCACAATGATTACTTTTGTCTGCAAATTTCATAAAATAACTGAGGATGATGCATGAATAAGGTAATCTTGGGATACTTATTTATACTTCACAACTAAAAATCCATTATCGTTTTCAGTGGACCTCAAGTGTCTTCACATCGTCTAATTGTTTTTGAGTATCTTAGTAAATAAATAAATTGTAGGAAGTCTTACCTTTAGTATTACTTTAGGCTGTAGCTTTGGAGCGATGAAGCAAGTTAGAATCAAGAAATAAAACAAAAGTAAATCACTAATATGCAATCCGACAAAACCAACGATGCACAGAAGAGATGAACTCGTCAGGAAATGTAGAAGTGAATTTCGATATTGAACTTGATGTACGAAAATACAGAAGTTTATCAGTACGTGACGCATATGAACTAGGCGTCTACAAAAGTTCCAATAACACCAATTATCTTCGTAGCTTGGGGGATTTGTGAACATCCTATGAATAGAGAAAATAGTTTAAATAGAGCTTACCTTGATAAAACTATAGGCCCGAAGTAGTCTGTCAAGCTGAAAAGCAGTCCCGAACAACCCACAACAAGCAGAACTGGAGGTTCATATATATGCAGTAGGAAAAACAAAATGGTGATTGAAAATATTACAAGCAGAGTCGATCGAAGACTTTTCCAATTCAATATATTCTCTAACTTCACAATTACACTGAACCAGTCTTGAAGATCTGCCATCAAAACCCTGACTTCCGGCTCTTCATTCACAATTCTCTCTACCTCCAAGACATCACGTGTTCTTACAGGACCTTTCATCCAACGTTTCATCTACAAAATAGAATGATAATGTATATTAAGCAGTGGCAGTGTCACAGTACATTTCACTTCATTTAATACATTTGTGGTTGGAAAATTTTAACATTCTGTTATTCTCTCACATCCATCATAATAAGTTTTCAGTAACTTCGGAGCATTTCATGTTTAGGCGATGACCGTATAATCTACTATTCACTTATATATGCCTGTGTGTACTGTGTTGAAAACTAACTTGATAGCACCCAGTTTTTCTTTGGCCTTGCTACCTTTAAAAAATAATAGACTTATCATCCTATATATGTGCGTCGAGCACTTAAAGCATATTGAAATAATAGAATTCATAAAAGGAAGTAGTCCATTGTAACCCTCGACGTTGGAGGTGTTTAGACATGATTTCTATGTGTAAGTCGTAAGTTGACGTTACGTTTCCACCCTTATCAATGGTTGAACCATCTATTACTTGTCTAAAATTCCAGTGGTATCGGTTGACCAATACATTAGGTTTCTTGTCGCAAACATATTTTCTGGATGTAACAGTAACATGATCTTTTCTGATCAGGATAGGAAGAAATTTTAGGATTTGTGTTACAAAAGCTTTTTGTTAGGAAAACAGACCAAGCGATATGGACTTGGCTACTTATCTTTCAACCTAGTTACCGGCAACATTCTAAGTTAGTCCTAATTCTCAAACGAGGTTTGACAATATCCCGTCGATACGGTCGTCAATTTTCGTGTATGAGTTCCCCACAATCAATCAAATTTCGGGAAATCGAACACTCCTATCCAAGTGACTTAGTTGACAGTCATTCCCAAATACTCCACTCTTACTAAGATGCGTAGAAATTACGTCCACTTTTTTTTTTTTGTCATTCCAGTGTTTGTCTCTCAAAATAGGCTACACATATATGCTCACATTTGGAGTTACTAGTCGATAGAAAATGAGAGAGTAAGGATCAACTCAAAACCCTTTTCCTAGACAACAGTATGTACCACGGTGCAAAAAAGCACAATAATTAGGCTCTTATCTTTTCGCTTTGGACCAAAGAACTACCCAAACGTACTTAATTCTTCATGGTTTTGTACGCCGATGAGAAAGTTTGCAATAAAACAAGCAAATTGATCCTGCCAATCCAATAGACTAGCCAAAATAATGATGGATATCCATCAGTGTAGTTGAGTGGGAAGCACTGATCAGTGGACGTGATGGTAGAGCACACCACATCGGCAAAACAACTAACACTAAAGAGACGCGGATTGACACTGAAGCCATGGTAATTCCTACCTGGCAAAAACTTCAAGCAGAAGACACATCACAAAACGCAAATGCAAGTGAAGGATCTACTTGACGGAGGTTGACAGTGTCTGAAGTGCGCCCTGAGTTCTGCTATAATTTTTTCACTATCTACTGGTGTAATGGTAGGGTACAACGGTAATCCGTAGCACAATTGTTTATTTGGCAAAATAACGTATAGTGATGGCATATATAAAATGTTTACAGTGAAATTTCAATGTGCAGAAGTTATTCGTATTCTGCTTCTTTTGTTTTCACTTCATGCTTTCTATAGTGTTTCACAAGGATATTCATTTCTCGTTTTTGCAACCGAAGCCATCACTCTAATGCTCAAGAAGACGTCACTAGTATATTAAACTCAAGATTGTTTCAATAGTACACGCTGCACAAGTCTGTACATCAAAAGTTCCGAGTTCAGTGTGTCTGCAGTGCCAACTAAATTTTCCTCAGTGTCCACATCAAGCCCCGAATCACGTGCTAACTACTAGTCCACATCACAAAAAATCCAGTTTACTTGCTCTTGTGGAGCTGAGTACATCGGCCGTACCATGCGTCGACTTAAAAAATGCGCTCGCGAACACTACCCAGCCTGGCTGGTAAAAGGAGACCAAAAACGTGCATACAGTTCGGTAACAGAACATCTGGTCAACTCAGGACATCCAGCGCCTTTCGAAAAGTCCTTCAAAGTAATATATAAGTAATATATATATTTATTATTGTTAACCATGTTAGTTGTAAAGCGGTTGTAAAGAAACTACGAAATGATATCATCTCGCGAAATTTGTGTTCTTAATGCCTTATTCAAATATAAGATTCAATCAAACCTATCAAAGGGAGTGAAATCAAGACATCTGGGCATAGCTGAGGGCTAGCTATCCAAAAACTCAAACCCACCCTTCGTATCCAAAAGAAATACGTCAACCCCTGTCCCTGCCATGGCCATCATAAACGGGTAAATTTTTTAATAATGACCATCCCATCGCCTTTCTTATCTAAACTTCCTGTTTATTCATGTTATTTTAAGTTTTTCTTAATCCCTGTCTACACTACCATATTTTCATATCCCCACTTCCTGTTTATTTTGTCATTTCACTATTTCTAACCCCAATTGCACAATGTCAATCTTCTTAGTTATTATGCTACTTTGTTTGAGGTTTACCCATCCCCGTGTTTATTATGGCATTCCAATTCCTAATTGTAATTTTTATTAATTTGACCCTTAACCGGAAATTTTTCTGGAACTTTCGCATCTATTTGATATAAATACACGAATGTACAGCCTAGATGATGATTTCGTCGAAAAGAAAATTTTCTTCACTGCAACTGTCTTTTTATTCCCTAAAATCCAAATTTCATACGTACGCATTCTGTCATCTAACCATCACAATTTTGTCTCAAGTAAACTAACTTTAAGCGAATATTTAACTATAATAGGAACAAGTGGTATGCACAATCCTCTAGCACTGTCAACGGTTTACTAAGATTGAACCTCAGGAGATGTGGCAAACTACGGGAACATGGTAAATTACCAAGAACGCCTGAGCCAGTCTAACTGGATATATACTCTCCTTCAAGTGAAATAGGATCGTGTCATTTATGCACTTCTTTGTACTTATAACCAGCTTTACCGATAGATGTCCATGCGCGCGCATGAGTAATGGTCTCAACTAGCTCTACAGGAACATTGAACGCATAGATGAACATTGACAACCTGCTGACGCTGGCTGGGCTGATGCAACTCCCCAAATAAGTGAAGTGGCCAACACGCTTAGCCAACACCTCACTCCCTACGTTAAAGCTAGGAGTCGGTACAGTCCAGTCCTGTAGCATGATCTTACATGCTATCTTCTCAGTCAGAAAATAGTGGTAAAACACGAATAAACAGTGGGCAAAAAGAAAACACTACCTGTAATAGGAATTCTGGTTATATGATAAGATTTTTACCATTCTGCCCATCATTTGACGAAAATTTTGCCATTAATGGTAAATGGTAAGAATTCTTACCATCTAACCAATCATAATAGTACTTTGCCCGTTATTTTCCATTCTTACTTTCCAGAAATCTACCCATATTAAATGGTTAATATGAGTAGATTTCTATGCCCATTTTTGCCGACTTGGTACGTGTCCATCCACACCTGCATTGTTATTTGATAAACCGTAGAGTGAATGGCGAAGTTAGAGTATCATAGCCAAAGTAAAGGTCCCTCAAAAGTTGAGTTTCAAGGACCGATCAAACACAGGGAATGTTATGAAATGTCATTCCAAATCAATGGGCCCTGATAATCTTCATCCAATGCCTCTCAATAAGCTATCAGCTCACATAGCCTCTCGATTGACCACGATCTTAACGCTATCTCTCCTCAATGGAGTTTTACCGCGTGACTGGAAAGACACCTTAGTAACCCCCATCCACAAAGTAAGATCAAGACAAAGCCCTTCAAATTACAGGCCTATTAGTCTCACCAGCACTTTAATCAAGACGCTGGGAAGAATCATCAAGAAAAGTATCATGGCATATCTGGAAAACAACAAAATGTTATCCAGAGCACAGCACGGCTTCCGAAGAAACCTCTCATGCCTGTCAAATCTCACTGCAAGAGAAAGCTGGGTTAAATCAACGGACAGCAGAAGACCCGTTAACGTAGTCTTCATAGACTTCAGCAAAGCCTTCGATAAAGTTCCTCACAAAAGACTACTCATGAAGTTGGAAAGTCTTGGTATTAATTGATATAAGTATAAAACTTGGGCACTGTCATAGAGCATAACTCCATTATGGATAAGATTTTATTTTGACAAATCACAGCGTTATACAGTAATATTAACTGATGACGTTCCGAGCACAAACTATTGCTCATAATCATATCAAATTACTCACAACTTTTTTGCTTCATTTATATACATGTGTGGAATCGATTAGATATTGGAATAAAAATCAATATGAGATAATGTACATTCAGAAATATGAGTGTTATTGATCAATTACAATCAGATGGGAAAAAAGACGAGTGTTTCTATAGTCATAATAAGCTACTTGTTTGAATGTTGTGATGTGTTTGAATTGAAATATAATTTTAAGATTATTAATCAAAGGCAGGTTACTATACTGGATTAAGGAATTCCTCATAGATAGGAGGCAGAGGGCTAGGATCAACTCGAAACTCTCCTCTTGGACAGCAGTGCGTAGCGGAGTGCCACAAGGCACGGTACTCGGACCTCTCCTATTTATTTTGTATATCATTATCTCTGCTCACAGATTCCCCTATGGTTCTATACGCAGATGACTTAAAAATTTGGGGAGAGCTGAGGGGCAACAGTGATACGCTCATGTTTCAAAATAACCTCAACAAATTGTCAGAGTGGTCCCGAGAGTGGATGCCCCCGGTCAATGTAGCAAAATGTGCAACCATGCGCATCGGACATGCAAGCACCAGCTCCTACGAACTAGAGGGAATAACACTTCCATCAGTTCAGACTTATTTGGATTTGGGTGTCATAATTAACCACGATTTAATAATTACAGTAGTGTCACGCGGTGGCCGTACATAGTTTCAGATCCTTAGGGGTAATTCGCAGAGCCTTTACTAGAATCACCAGAGATACGTTCACATCCTCATATACATCTCTGGTGAGATCAAGACTAGAAAACTGTATCCAAGCAGCCAAACCTTGTCTTAAAGGGGACTCACGCATTCTAGAAAGGGTTCGAAGGAAGGAAACACGTAAGATTCCTGGCATTACTAATCTATTATACGAGGAAAGACTAGACAGTTTAAATCTCCTCTCCGTGTCATACCATAGGCAGAGAGGAGACTTAATTACGATGTTTAAAATTTTAAATAATGACTACGGACCTGACCTACCCTTTCTTTTCCTTCCCACCAGGTCGGAACACCTTGGAGGACATAGCAGGAGAGTTCAAAAGCCAAGAACAAATCATATTGCTGTTGAGTACTGGTTCTCACACCGAGTCATAAACTCTTGGAACCGATTCCCAGAAGAAATGGTGTCTGCAACCTCAACTGATTCAGTCAAGGTTTAGTAGAAAAGGATTAACACAGGCCCCAAGCCTTCTATCCTCAACCAATAAATCTGAAATCATGCCTGCCTTTTTGAACTTGGAGAGGACTGATACAATATTCCATTTATTTACTACGTACTTCCTCTGCAAATCGATACTGTTAGGTAGTGTCATGGCGTTTAAGATTCAGGCATAGGACCTAGAGTTAAGGTTAGGTTTAGGGCTAAATTTAGGTTCAGAATTTGGGATCATGTTTACAGTTAGAAGTAGGTTGGAGAATAGTGTCAGAAATAGCGATGCATCTCAAAGTACCATGACCTACAGTCACATGGATGAATGGGTATATCGCTCTCTCTAGATCACTAGACTGGGAGATATTCTTACAACACATAAGCTACAACTATACAGTGTAAAATCATGCTAGCACTAATTTTTAATTTAATTTTCAACGATTACGCAGCTATTTTACAAATAAATTCTGATTGGCCGCTCAAGGCCACTGTGGTCTTGACTATGATAGTTTAACTTTGTCAATGGTGCTGCAAATGAGCTGATAAGGCTTAAATAAAACTGATAAGCAAAGCCAGTAGGTTCTGATCTACTCCTGAAGATGTCTACAAAAAGAACATGGTGTTGAATTAATGTCAGTCATGCTGAAAACCAGAACTTTGTTCTAGACTGTGCCATTAAAGAATTTATTTAAGAACAGATTCAGGATTTACTTACTATAGAATGTTGGAATTATTTCAGAATTAGTGAGATTTAATTCAGCATTATGGTAAACTTGGGAGGAGCAGAACCTGGACTAGAAGGGCTGCAATAAGGCTAATAAGCTACTTCTGAAAATGCGTAGAAGAAGAGCAAGGTGCTGATTTGGTGCCAGTCATGCTGACAAACCAGCGCACAGTTCCAGTTTAAGCAAATAATCCGTAACTGTTCTGCCACTGTTTGATCCAACAATGGCAGAACAGTTAAGGAGTTTACTTATTGAGGATTGTTACTATATTAGCATAGTATACGCGAATTGGCTCAATGATTGCAGATTTACCATAATCCTTAACTACCAACATAAAAACTGGGAATTGCAGGCTAAAAATAAACTTCGTGGTAGCATCCAGTGACAAACCCAGCTAGCATTTCTTCGGGACAAAAAACTTTGGGCGCATTGCCATTCTTGAGTATTCGCCCCGAAGACTGCCCCAAAAAGTCTGCAATGCACCCTAAGTCTGCCCCAATAAGTCTTCAATGCCCCCGAAGTCTGCCCCAAAAATTCTGCAATGCGCTTTAAGTTAAAGTCGGAATCGGGAATGTGCCCTAAGTCTGCCCCAAAAAGTCTGCAGTGCGCCCTAAGTCTGCCCCAAAAAGTCTGCAATGCGCCCGAAGTGCCCCAAAAGATTTGCAATGCGCCCTAGGTCTGCCCCAAAAAAATTGCTGGCTGGGAAAAAGCTGACCTACATACTACAAAATACGCAAAACGTCCAAAAAAGCCTTTAAATTTCAATGGAAAACGAATTCAGGAAAACATATAACCAGCAGAGGCAGGAACCCGTCACGATCTTGAAACTGACTATAGCGTCTTTCCAACAACACAGAGAGGGATAAACTCGGGGATTTGTATTTGGCGGAACTATTTTAATTCATATAAGTAACATTGACAAACAGTAGGTATTTAAACAATACAGGAATAGACATTGTCAGTCATCACACATATATTGCATCTAATTTCTTGGATTTATTTAGTTTCAATCATTTAATTATGGGTCCAAGCCGTATCAATTTCTCCCGCGATTATTTCGAATGTCTTAAAACGGCCTATCTACTAATTTCTAATAAACTTAAGAAAAAGCATCATAGTGGTTGTCATCGAGGCTTGGAGCTTGCCCCAGTAAGTCTGTTGATTGTTCCTGTGATTATAACCGAAATCTGCAGGTTGTTGTCGGACAAGATTAATTATAATCATATACCTAACAGGTGACATAAACCAGCTCGAAACTTCAGGAGACATCAGCCTTGACCGTATCGCCCAGTTCTAAAAAGACGACGCTGAACTCCTAACTTGTCGCGGAAACTCTTCCGTACAGTTCAAGGATGCGCCTATTCCTTTATCAGATGCAACTATAGTTTGCGATTTATCTAATGGCATGAATCGTTCGTTTGTTCCGCTCAGATGCTGAAAAGCTTTGTTTGATAATTGACATTCACCTTCTCATCCTGGAGTACGTGCTACGGTTAGACTTATCAGCGGCGTCACAATTCATATCACTGGCACAGACCTACTTAACTGTCATGACCTCCTCACAGATGTCAGCCGGAAATGACGGTACAACTAGACTGTCTATTAAAGGCATCACCTACATAGGTCACTACATGTCATTAGTTAAGAAGAAGGCGATATTTGACCCAATCTTTCAGCCGACTGTTGACAAGCACTCAGAACTTAAATACCCATTTAATGATCTACGTTGCATAACCAGCAGTGTTGTGCAATACGTCACAACCTCAGGAGAGCCCATGACATCTAAAACATGACGACTGGCTCCCAACGGACTATGACTAGCCATAAATGAATTCGACCATATACTCACCCTTGGCATCACTTGGCCATCGAAAAGCCTACAGGCATCCCCACTTCGTACGGTGCCGAAAGAAGATAACAATGATTGGTGATCCGCTGGTGATTAGCGGCGAGTGAAAGCCAAAACAACCCTTGATTGCTATCCATTGCCACATACACGACTTGACGGCAGCATTATCTGGCGCAACTATTTTCTGGAAAGCAGACTTGGCTAAAGCGTATAACCAAATCTCGATGCCACCAGAAGATATTCCGAAAACGGTCATCAATACACTTTTCGAACTTTTTGAATTTCAATGTATGCCATTCGGTCTCCGGAATGTAGCACAAACCTTCCAACGATTCATTGGCGGAGTATCTTGTGGTCTCGACTTTTTAAACACATACTAAGACGACTGGCTCATTACCAGTCCAGACAAGGAAACTCACCTTAGACACTTGAACTTCGCATTCGAAGGGTTACGCCTACATGGTGTTAACGTTAACATTCAAAAGTGTCAGATAGGTGTTTACCCACTCGACTTTCTGGGCCACAACATTGACTGTAAGGGTATCCGCCTACTGGCTAGTAAAGTTGAAGTGATACTGAACTTTCCGGAGCCGCAGACAGTGAAGAATCTTCGCACTTTTAACAGCTTGGTAAGTTACAACCAACACTTCATTCCTAAATGTGCATCACTGACTCAGCCGCTAACAGACCTTCGAAGGAATAACAAGTTCGTCGAACTTGACGCGTCTGCTCAAAAGGCTTTCACTCAGGTTGAAAAAGCTATTGCAGATGCCACCCATTCTTATGTATCAGCATCCATCGGCACCATAAAGTATCTCATTTGATGCATCTGACACTGCTGTCGGCTCAGTCCTGAAACAACTAGCCTGCAATCACGCACCTTTTTCTCGAAACGATTACAAGTTTCAGAAACAAAGTACAGCACATCCGGCAGAGAACTTTTGGCTTTATACTGTGCGATACGCCATTCCCGATGTTCAGCGGAGCGCCGTGAACTCATAATTTTCACTGACCGTAAACCTCTTACGTACTCTCTGAACTCGACTTCAGATAAGTATTCACCAAGGGAATCACGACACAGTTTATATTGGGTATTCGCCATGTGTCCGGAGTGAACAACACCGTAGCAGATGCTTTATCGTGTATATGTTTCCTCACGCAAATAGGTGGTATAGGCCCTAAGAAACTGGCTCGTCTTCAGAGGGGAGATACCGACCTTCAACATGAGTTGTCGGAAACAACTCTGCAATTAGCCGAGAAACCACTGGGCATGGGAAGAGATTCTACTCTATATGACATTTCCACAAGTACTTCTCGCCCCACCGCGTCTGAAAGTTATCTCCGTAACGCCTTCACTATGTTGCATGGCTTATCCCACCCAGGTATTCGAGCCAACGTCAAGCTCATTACAAGTCGGTTTCATTGTCCTGTTATTAATAATGAGGTGAGAGAATTGGTACGCACATGCTTAGCTTGTCAAAAGTGCAAGGTAGTGACACACACAAGAAGCCCTCTTGGCACCCTTCTCATCCCCAATTCTTGTTTCGAACACATTCATGTATGCCTGGTTGGATTCCTCCCAGAATCTCATGGATATACCTATATCTTAACGTGTATTGACCGTTTCACACGGTGGCTTGAAACAGCATCCCTCAAGAATGTATCTGCTGAAACAGTCGCACGCGTCTTTGTCGGACGATGCACCACAAGTTTTGTATGCCCATCCTCTAGAACAACTGATCGCCGGCGCTTATTCGAAAGCGGCTTATTCTTAGCCATGACTAAAATCCTAGGTCATATGCGTTTTGGATAAACAGCCTACCATCCAAAAGCTAATGGTGTGGTAGAACATCTACACCAACAGTTAAAGGGTGGGTTATCAGCTTCAAACAGTGTATATTGAACTGAATCATCACAGTTAGTTCTGCTAGGCATACAAAGTGCTTTGTCTTTCTGCAACCGTGTCTGAAAGTTTCTCACATGTATTTGTCCGTTTTGACTCTGTACGTCGCCCTCTAGAACTTTTACATGAATGACCATATAAAGCCATCAAAACTATGGACAAATTCCTTGCCCCGGACCAAAAAGGCCACAAAATCTCTGTTGGCATCGATCGTCTGAAACCGGCCTACTTAGAAGGCAACCCTGTGAGCCTCGAGCTAAGCATTCCCAAAAATACACAGGTAAATGAATATCTGTCAGTCCTCGAAGAAATCACTAGCACGGCAAAGAAACCTAACTTTCCTTTGAGACCTCAAATAAAACGCGTTCTGGACGAACCACGAGATTCTTAGAACATCTTCACCCTTACATCAGATAGCAAGATGATGTAACCTACCTAATTTCTTCCGATTGCGGTGTCTTTTCCGGGCATATAATTATTTCTTTTCATTGCATTCTGCAACATAAGTAAAAAATGTTTTGTGGCAGTACATTTTACACCCAAAAACATCTGAGTTCTTTCGGCGTTCTATTTCTCGCACTACTTTTCTGTATGTTATATGTATATCGTTATTCGAACGTTATTTTTGGCACATTTTTCCTCTACTAGGTTCTCAGAACTCTTGTTTTCTTTCCAAGGTGCGACAGGCACAGGACAAGAAACAAACGAAGCACAAGGTCCAATGGACAAGCATATGCGAAGCGATATACAGATACCCTAAAACCATAGATAGGCGACCAGTAGGGACTACATCAAGTTGATCGTAAGTGTTACCGATGTTGATGCCACTGGATTTTTACTTCCGAATGGTTTCGTCTAAGGCTCCTCACAACCCCAATGGAGTGAAGTGAGCTCTGGTGGCAGATAATTTTCAGAACTGTTAGCCACAGCATTCATCAGTGAACATTGGGTGCTGACCCTCACTGTTTAAATCGACTTGTTTGGCTGAAGTCTTACGGCCACGCATCCACGCCACTTCGTTGTGTGACTTTCGTTCGTAATTTGGGTGATCATTTCTGCTGTTTTACCTTGCCTTTGATCTGCGCGGAACGAATACTATAGAAGCTGTGGGTACTAGACCTTGTGTTGGTATACCTCGTACTACCCATCAGCCCCTAACATACTGTGAACATTGTTAACGCGGTGTTACATTGGATAATTTTCTCACACATTTTGTAAGAATATCCACTAGTTACTTCTAAGATAATTCTCGCAAAAGTCATACAACACGTGACCGATGTATTTATCCAAGTGACTTTGTATCATCAGACTTTGGATCCTTTGTGTTCCTCACTCTGTCATTTAACCTACCCGAATCCCGAAAGTGTTCGTTATACCTAACAGTGTGGATCGACAGAAAAAAGTGATTGGGGAATACGCAGAATACTGAGTCTACCCCGAAGAACGGATTTCCTCCTACAGCAATAGTCGCATCTATAGCGTAATTACCCCCACAATGTTATACTGCTATATCATCATAACTTCCACGAATATTTCTTTGTGATTTCAGTTATTCCACTGTTGTTTAAGTATGACCTTTCGTAGCGTTCTGTGAATCTGACTGGCTCCTGAAGATCAGGCTTTGGCAGACCTTCACTTTGGCTATGGTACTGTAACTTCGCTTTGGATTCGTTTAGGACTAGATCTAGAAGACCTAGGTGAATGCTTGTATAGAATCTGGTTTACTTTCTCTATTGACAGGCTGAGAGTTGTTGTTATCACACTTGAAAATATGGTATCTTCTGTAACAGTGTCATGACTTCTCGTTCATTGTTTTCGCAAGTACAGTGTATACACAAAAGTCGTTTTTTATGTGGCTCGTTCTTTCAAGGTCATTTTTCAGTACTTACACATTGATGCTTAAAGCATGGCTTCCCCTGGGTAAGCTATATGTGCACCTTCTAAAGTAGGCGGAGAAGTTTTCTGTGAAAAATTCGCCTGAATGCATGACGTCGGCTGCTGAAGTCAGTAATAGAGTACATTTAACATTTGGAAAGTATAAAACCAGAAATTTCGTAGTATTAGAAGACATTGTTCCTCTTAACAGTAGTTGGCGAACTTCACCATTTAAATCAACCCGTTATGTTAAAGGTTCG